CACCAACTCTTTCGGATCCACTCCTGTGGCACTACACAGTTTGCTCATGAAGGTAGATCCTGTGCAGCGCTTGGAAAGAAGTGATTGGTGATTAGTAAATAAGTTGACTGCTGCTTAGAAGAGCCGTGCTCTGTAGAAATCTCAAGCTGTTTTTTTGGCGAAGCAGTAGAGGACCTTCACGCAGGTTTCGTGAAGGCAGATGCAAAACTACTCTTTCTACGTCGGTGAATTTGTAACTGCAGCTGAATTTCAATTAGAGTGAGTCCCTTGATTAGCGGCAAGAGTTGCCCCCCTGCCCCCCCCCTTGATCTTGCAGTGATTATGAAACTAGAGTGACTCAAGAAACATTGGGTTTAGGGTTCTGACTTACAAACAGGTAACCATGTGGGTTACCAAGCTTCCGGAAAGCTTGCGGAAAAGGATAGAAGACTACTTCTGTCCCATTGGCAAATACGTTTCTGTTAAAGCAGTCGCGTGTTTTATCTTTAATATGGCTGCAGTAACAGCAGCTCTTACCCAGCACTGCTAAAATCCATCTTGAGTTAAATTGGCCTTTAAGAAAGCACTTCGTGTTTTCTCTGAATCATAATAGTTTATGGATCCATGAAATTGCTTTTGGTTTGTTCAACTTCTTGCTTAAATATTTTAAAAGACATTTTCCTTTCCTCTTTTCCTCTTTATGTTCGTCATCGCTTCTTCTCTTTGACCAGATTGAATTAGTTAGAAGAGATTATGTGGCTAATGGTGGCTGGGAGACCTTCCTGTCCTATGAAGACCCAGAGCAGGATATTCTCGTTGGCCTTCTACGACTGCGGAAGTGTTCGGAGGAGTCATTCAGACCTGAGCTGAAAGGAGGCGTTTCCATTGTCCGGGAACTGCACGTGTATGGGAGCGTGGTCCCCGTGAGCAGTCGGGATCCTTCAAAGTTTCAACACCAGGTACTCCAAACCATCTTTATTTTTCATCTGCGCCTCTTTCTTGCACCCGGCTCCCTGCCCCAAGTATAACCGGAGAAGAAATTTGTTTAACATCATTCAGTTGCTTGGATTATAGTCCTCTGCAATGGGAACACAATTAAATTTGAGCCCCTTCTTGCATTTCCCCTCCTGAAATCATGCTCCCTCTGAGTTTTCGCTAGTGTGATCGTGTTTAGGCATTTGCAACTGCTCTGAGATAAAAAAAAGGTATGCCTGAATGCTATCAGCGTTGCTTCCTACCCAGTCCAGTATGAGCTCATGTATGCTGGTGCTAATTTGGCCTTTGAGTACGAAGCGTCTTTGGTTCTGAAGTATCTTTCCTTCAATATCCTGTACGGTACATCGGACTTCACCGAGTAAAAGCAAAACAAGGGAGATAAACCCATTGTGGTTTTTTATTTCCTTCTAAAATTGATCTTGTTCTGTAGATGAATTTCGCTTCTGAAATCGGAAATAATTACATCTGGGAAGGTGAGATTTTATTTGGTACGCCCCAATTTTCTTTCAAAGGAACGTTTATTGAAAACATTCTTCCTACCAAAACAGAATAAATCCAACTTTGGTTCTGAGATGTCTATCGGTTTAAGCGATGGGGTGAGACTCCCGAGCAAAGTCTCTTCGTTGTGTCTGACAGTTTTTTGCTTCAGACACACTTGTGAGGCCATTTCAGATATATCTTAAAGCACGTGAGAATGGAGTGGGAAGCTGCGTTTCTAATTCCTTGCAGTGACTCGTAGGAAAATTGCACGTTATCCTGCTGCTGCGTGTAACATGCTGCGGCTTGCGATGAGCAAAAATGTGAATTAAATTTTGCCCCGGTAGGTTTTGAACCTTTACACTCAGCTTTTAAAAAAGCAATCAGTTTGTCCTCTTTGCCAGAAGTGCTCAGGGCTGATGTTTTAAATTAACTTCCTTCTATTTATTAATCTTTCCCTGAGTGTATGCATTAAGATGCGGTTTTGCTAGATGCTGATGGTGTGTGACCATAAGGCAGTGGCTGGGGAAAAAGAAGAAAAAAAGAAAAAAATAAGTGGATGTTTCCACTATCAAACACTTAAAAATTCAGGAAGGAAAAGTGGCCATCCTAAGTATTTGAAAAAAAAAAAAAAAAAAACCAACTACAAAACCAAAACCAAAAAAGAGAGGGAGAGAAAAATCAATTGAAAGTAGCCGACTACGAACATTAAAATAGGCTGCAAATTGAAATTTCATGGCATATGACGCACTCGTGTTCATTCGGAATAGTCAGTGTTCAAGAGGTTAATCAGAAAGTGTTCTTCACAGTTGTGGGGGCAATTTCTGATTAGAAGGACGTTTTAGAGCGAAGATTTCTGGGTGTTATTTAAAAACGCCTGTAAGTGTTAAATGTTTTTTAGAATTAAATCACATCTACTTCAGTGTCGCCGCAGCCCGATTCTGTACATCTTGTCAGGAAAACAGATGAACAGAGAGCCGAGTAGAATCCCTGCATCCTAATGTTAGGAGTGAATTAACCCAATCAATTATTCCCAGCTATAGGCCAGCGAAGCTGTTAAATAGTGTGGAAAGGCTCTTCCCTTATTCTGAAGCATTATTGTGATTCCAGTAGCGCTCCTGCCGCGCAAGATTTCCAAACGTAAATAGAGACGTGGAACTGGTCCAGAATATGAACGTGTTCTTCTCCAATTCTTTTTGATTTGGCATCTCCTGTGTCACGCGCGGAGCCTCGGAGAGCCGTACGGAGCCTGAGCGGTTCGATGCAGCCGTTGTGGTAGCCCCGACCAGCCCCGAGGTCGCTGCGTGCCTCAATTCTTCTTACTCAAACGAGGACGATAGCAGTTCCCGACTCCTGGAGGGGTTGTGGAAATGAAGGTTGCGAGGCGCGAAGGCGAGATGTGTATCAGAAGAGCGAACAGCAGCAGGGCCCGTCTCTGGCTCTATAGCGTCTGGCCACATGTTTCGACTGGTGTCCCCAGTCAAAATGGCACTGGGATCCCTCTGCAATTCGACAGTGTAGGCAATCACAGAATCACAGAATGGTCAGGGTTGGAAGGGACCTCTGGAGATCATCCAGTCCAACCCCCCCCC